GGCTTAATATGAGTTTTCAGTGTTTGGTTTTTGGCAAAGTTTGCGTTTCAGACTAATGGAGAGTGGCAGGGCAGTCCTATGCTGTGTCCCCAGAAGGAGAGGAAAGAGGCCAGGCACTTGGGTTGGTGGGAGGGCAGATTCTAGTTCTTTTTCTTTATTACATCAAGCTCTAGATTAGGGCTGGCAAACTTTCTGTAAAAGGCCAGATAGTAAATATTTAAGATTTTGCGGTCTGTACGGTCTCTGTTACATCTACTCAACTCTGCATTGGTACAGGGAACAGCCATAGACAATAGTAAATGAATGGACAGGGCCGCGTTCCAATAAAACTTTACTTATAACCATAGGCAGCAGGGCCATGTTTGGCACACAGGCTGTTGTTTGCTGACCCTGCTGCTCTAGGTAATAGTAACTTCAAATGGAATGCTGACGTTGACAATGCAGGAAAAGACAAATCTAAAAAATGCCTATTATCTCCACCATGATTTGCTATAAAAGTTACCATTCTCTAAGGGGCACACCTATAAATAAGGACCCTTAACAATGAGATAGTAGAGTCAAATTTGAGCCATAAAGAAGAAAATTAAATACTTTGTACTTAGGTAGCTAAGTATTTTCTAGTTCCATGATTATGGGCGTGAGAAGAGTATGAAGGGGGAAGTCACTTAAGGCACTCATTTAACGTTAATTTCTCATTTTCCACTGCTTGCCATCAACTAGGGAATGACTTACCTAAAATGATTACAGAAAATGGTTTCACTTCCTTGATCAGGAAGCTCAGAACAGTAACTATGAAGTTAGTAATGGTTTCAGTATTAGCGCAAGTCATAATGGAAATGATTTGCACTACGGTGGAGAGAGAAAGGGAAAAAACGCTCAAGAACTGTTAATTAAGTTCATTGTTTCCCCACAAATGCTAGGAGTATTAAAAACAAGGTTGCTGGAGTGCAAACATCAGGACTTAATGAACAATGGGATGCAATTGAAGTAAGAGGGAATGACTTAATCGGGACAGTGGGTTAATTACAGGGATAATGAATCTTCTGGAAGGACAAACTAAATGGAACATCGGGAGCTGGGGAGGATGGGGACAGCCACCGAGGTAA